TGAGCGTATATCTGGTACTTCTGTAACGTATTTTTTTTTTCTCACACGGGAATGTTCTTGATGCTTAATGTTTGTTATCTATCCAATATTCCCTGATGTTATGCTTTGACTTTCTTTTAGTTGGGAGGTGGTACATTATGGGGTCTTTTATCATTATTAACAGGTGCTCAATCGTTTGATGGTGAGTATTTATATGGTTTATTATATTTATAATTTTATGAATCACTATTTTAATAACTTTATTTTGTGAAAAAGAAATGTTGGAAATGAGTAAGCATGGTGATAATACGAATGTGGTGTGTTATTTGAAATTATACAGCTTAATATTTGGAATCGTATTAATTCTCTTTGTTTTTATAGGATATGTTGGTTGGAGATATTTATGGATCAGATTACAGTAAGATTGGGTTGAAATCATCAATGATTGCTTCATCTATGGGAAAAGTGTTTAAAAAGAATGTGAAGCAAAATGTTGATAATTTTCGAGGCGAAGATATTTCAAAATCACTATTATACATGGTCAGGTAGACATTATGATTTTTATTTTTATTTTTTTTTTTGACTAATAAATAAAATTCAATAAACTTATTTTTTTTTTTTGAATTCAGTAATAATATTGGTCAAATAGCCTATCTGAATGCACAGTCTCATGGATTAAAACAAATCTATTTTGGTGGTTGTTTCATAAGAGGTAAAAAAAAAAAAAAAATGGTTATTATTATTTGAGTATGTTAACAGATATAAATATATATATATATATATATGTTTTTAGGACATCCAGTTACAATGAATACTTTATCATATGCGGTAAAGTTCTGGTCAAAGGGGACTATTAAAGCCCTCTTTCTTCGTCATGAAGGGTATCTGGGTGCAGTTGGCGCTTTCCTTAAACACGGAACAAGACAACGGTCTGGTTCCTTTTCTGAGATATTTACTAACCCACAAATGATAACTAAAAATAGCATTAACGCTTGTGGGGTTTTGGAAAGCGCCCCGATCAAGTTAACTCCGTTACCAAAAA